AGTCGGACGCTTAACCGACTGAGCCACCCAGGCGCCCCTGCAGGCTCATTTTGAGTAGAAAGTTTGATTTTTGTCTTGTTTCACTCTACTTTGTTTTTGCTCTCATTTTCGTTTCTCCCCGCCTAGTACGTTTCTAGCGGTCTGCAGCTGTGCCCAGATGCAGGGACAGGTGATTGTGGTGCTCCTGAGGCCCATCACTGTGGTGGCATTAGTGGTGCTGCGGAGCTGGGACCTGAGCTGGGGGTGGTGGTGGGGGTGGGGGTGGGGTTGAGTCATTTGTGGCCAAGGGTTGAGTGGATTGGAGCTATGGCCTGTGGGCTGAACTGCAGCCCTACACGGGGTCTTCAGGAATTTTTTGCATCAGCTCCTTGTTCTGAGAGAGCCCTGGGTTGCGGGTGGCAAGGCTGGCACCAGTGCCCCACTCTGTGGAGCAGGCTTTGTTCTGGCTGCCTCTGCCAACTCCAGACCCAGAGCCCAGCAAGCCTGTGGCTCTGGCCTTACCCACTGCTTTGCATTCCTGTTCTGTTAGACGTTTTAATCTTGTTTTTGAACCTGGCCATGTCTTTTTGGTGTCCTGTTCTCATATTTTGTCTGTTCTTGCTATGTGTTTAGAGCAGGGACGATGCATCAAAGTGTGAACTTACTGTACTCTCTTGACTGGAGGAAGTCCTTGACTAAATCACTGAAGATTCTTTTCAATTCCCCATTCAAAGACTGTAATCCACCAAGTAGATCTTCATAATGGTGATATTTTGCCTTTGTATTGGAAACAGCATACTTTACTCAGTATTTTTTCCTAGAAGACTGGCTTGGAAATCTCCTTAGAGAAAATAACAACCTGCTACCCCACAAGTTATTCTGCCTGTGGCCTCCCCAGCACATATCCCTCTCCAAAATTATCTTATTTCTCTGCACACACATTTGTCTCTCCCACTGGGATCTAAGCTCCACGAGAACAGAAACTCTTTCTTATTTCCCTTTTGTATCCACAACCCCTTTGCGATAGTGTCTGTCACGTGGTAGGCACTCAATAATGTTCTGATAAATTACTGAATCAGTCACTGAAACCTGCCTGTGCCTCCTTAATTCCACGGTCATGCTGCGAGGTGCCTGCCGCATGGCCTCTCGTGAGTGCTGGGAGGCGCGTGTTGGACTGTAGCAGCTATGTAGAGTGACCAGTGTTGTCTCATGCCCGCCTTCATTCATCAAAGCCAAGTGGGTCCCTGCTCCGGGCCAGGCACTGACAGCCAGACGTTCATACCGCATGCATTTTCCGCAGCCCTTTTCACATGTCACCTCCTCCTGTCTGTTGTCATTATAAATCTCAGGATGGGGTGGAGGAAGTGAGCTAGCCACCTTGCTGGCTTACGGTGCTGGAGGCCAAGGCTTTGGGGATAGGCCGAGAGCGGGAAGGCCCTTCCTGTCACAGAGCTTCCGTTCCAGTGGGTATGACAGACTCCTTGTTCTCTGAGCAGTTAATCACTTCCTTACTTGGCATCGGCTTCGTGGTGTTGCAGATTGACATGGCTATAAAAGGAGACCCCTGTGTCCTCAATATCTCTTCTTGTGTGTGAACTGTCTCTCTGTGGCCTGAGGAAGCCTCGATGGTTGGGGAGCTTTGCCTGGAGCCTTATCCCATTTCTGACATAGATACCCATGCCAGCACAGGCCCGGGAGCCATGAGCTGAGTGTTCCTGGAGCCTCTGCCCAGAGGAGGCATCCTGATGTGTAGGCTGGAGGGAGGGTGGACAGATGCCTGGAAAGGCCTCCTCATGTACCGTCCCGCTGGCCTTCAGGGAATGGCAGAAGAAGAGCCTCATGGCAGTTTTGCTTTCTGGTGTCATCTTCCCGGTTGGCTGGGACCGTCGGCCAGAAAACAGCAAGTCCAGAGCCCCAGGAGACATCCCTGTCCTGGCTGCTTCGTTGTGTCACGCCGGCTTCTCCGATTGTCCCAGGGACGGCTGAGGGTGAGGGCCCAGGTGGCTGCGGAGGGCCCAGCACAGATTCACCACACTCCCATTCCTGGGACCCTGCCTCAGCGTCGTGCTTTGAAAAAACCCACGAGAAATCCCCCAGCATTCAGTTTCACTGTTTGTATTTAGCTTTTCTGAAGTGTTGGCATTCCACAGGCATTCCAGAAGCCTTCTTGGCATTTTTAGATATTCTGAAGCAGCCTCAGGAGCCAAGTCTCCCCTCTGTTCTCCATTCTACAGGTAAGGAGGACATACCCAAGAAAAGGAGAGCAAATTGCTCCAGCTCGCAGGCCACTCAGTGGTGGAGCCCGCGTTAGAGTGCGACTCCCAGGTTGTCAGCGTGTCGCCAAGCCCAGCCAGCCCACGTTCCCCGGGTGCAGCCAAGTCCTTCAAACCCAGGTCCTTCCTCAGCTGCTGTCGCTGTCCTGTGGTTAGCTCCTCGTTGCTGATCCCCTGCTGGGCTTTAGCACATTTTCATGTCTGGGTGTAGCATTGCCGAGGGAATGGGCTTTCAGAAACATCAGTTCTTGTCCTGGGTGGTATTTTTGCCCAGTTCAGACCCATGTGCTGACACCATAGTGTGGTCTGAAGGAGGCAGCTCAGGACCTGGAGTCACTGCTGACAGAGGTTCATGGTTTCTGTCATTGGCTAGCTTTATGCTCTTGGGGTCATGGTAATTAAGTGATACAGGAGCCTGAAATGGTGCTGGAGTGTACTGGACCCTTACACAGAGCACACAGCGATCAGATGGCATTACTTGTCTGCACGAGCGGTGAGCCGGCCCTCTGGGGTGCTCAGACCCCGGGTGGGGGCAGGCCTTGGGGCCTTGTCCCACAGAGGTCCTGAGAGGCTGCGGGGCCATGGATGTCCCAGGCAGGAGAAGACTGCCGTGATGCAGGTGTCCCTTGATGGAGGCCTGTTGTGGCCCTGCCTGTTTTCTTTAACCTCCCACACAGTCCTGTGGGGCAGGCACTTCTGGTGCGGGCTTATGTCTTATACCTGAGGAAGCTGGAGCTTGATCACCCAGATAGTTAAGAGTGAGGCAGGTTCACCCCCAGGTCTCCTGGCTCCAGGTTGCTGGTCCTGGCCAGCCAAGCCCCTCAGCCTCGCTGTCACCTTCAGGGAGGGTCCTCGGCCATATGTGCCAGCAATTCTGTTTGTTCTGCATCCGGTGGGTGCGGGAGCAGCCGTCCTCTCCAGCTCTAGGGTTCTGGGGTTCTGATACTGCTCACCTTTCAGATCCCTGACCCCTGAAGGAGGGAGCTGGCCTTGCCAGAAGAAGGGCATTCTGGCACCCTGCCTCTGAGAGCTCACGTGTGAGTTGGTGGCCTGGTCCGGTGCTGGGCGTGAGAACTCCATGGCCGGGGAACAGCTCCGGCCCTTCCAGGCCGTGTGACCTTGAGGCAGTGCAGCTCTGTGGTCAGGCCCTGTACGTGCTGGGGCTCAAGCCCCAGTTCCTCCCTCATAGCTGTGGGTGGGGGCGGTCACTTAGCCCCTCCATTTATTCACCTACAGGGGCTTCCTAGCAACCCTGCCTACCGTTTAGAGGTGCTGTGAGGGTCCAGTGAGAAGGTCTGGGGGAAGCACTTGGACTAGTACCTGGCGCCTAGTAGGCACTCGGTAAATGTTAGTGCTTGTCCTCTGAAATGGCTCTAGCAGCGTGCTACACTGAAGTCCTGAGGTGGAAACTCAACACAGGGTATGTAAGCAGTCCAGCATAGCACAGGTTTTCAACGCCCATCGCTGCTGCTTGCACAGTCAGTGTCTCTGAACAAAACCCCCTTGGTGTCTCCCGCAGCTCAGCCCAGCTGCCGTCGCCTAACGTGGGCTTTGTTCTCTTCCCGCCAGGCCAGGGAGCTGGAGAGCCGGGAGGCAGAGCTGAGCCGTCGTGACACCTTCTATAAGGAGCAGCTGGGACGCCTCGAGAGGAAGGTAAGGCTCACGGCGGCCGCCTTTGGGCGCCAGGCCCTGAAAGCCCCAGGGTCCAGTCGCCCCAGTGGCCGGTGCCCCTGCGGACACGCCCTCCCTCACCCTCAGCCTTTCCCCAAGTTGTAGTCACAGAGATCACAGTGTTTAAGTGGCCTGTGTTTTGTGAATGCGGCTGGCCATGCTGTCGTTCAGCCTCAGGAAAGACTCATTTTCACCACAGGGCGGTGCTGAGCCCTAGCCTACCTTAGTTAAGCTGCACTGGATAAAAATAATTATAACGTGAAGTCATGCTGTACAAATATATTAAAGTTGTATTATTGATTTTCTCCCGGGAGTCGGGGAGATCAAAGGGCACCATGGCTACTCGCTCCCCACTTTCCTAGGGATAAGCCTTTGAAATGAAGGAGATTCAGAGACATCCTCATTCTTTTTTTGTTGTTGATAAAGCCTACAACGACTCTTGAAAATTCATTTGGTAACTTGTTTACTTTTGTGGGGGAGTGCTTAATTTGTTGATCATGACAGATTTTTCAAATGGCTTAAATCATGGATGGGAGACGGTTGGGAGGTTTTTAAAAAAAAAAAAATGTTCTTCCTCCTGCCTGAGACGGCATGCCAGGCAATCCGAGCCATCAGCTTATTGCAGGCAAATCTTCGAGAATCGTTTGTCACGGTTTGGAGCTTTGAAATTGACAGTTTGCTTGAGGGGCTTGATTTCCTTGGGCTTTTCTCCTGTGGCATGGCACTCTGAAGGCTGGTAGAAATGTGGGTTTCTGGATTTCCAGGCAGCGGGGATAGGAGGGACGCTTCTCCTTGCTCCAGGGACGCCCCTGTCTGCCTCCTGCAGGGTGTTTAGGGGATGGCACCAATTGTGATGTGAACACCGAAGGTGGTGGCGTGGTCCTGGAGGCCAGCAGGGCACCTCCAGCCACTTATAGAAGTGGCCCCTTAACCAGCAGAGGTGTCCCCAGAACAGCCTCCTGCCCAGGTTTGACTGTAGCTGCAATGACAAGGATTGTGATTTGAGATCCTGGAAAAGGGGAAAAACATTCCACCAGCCATAGCTCTAATTATCACAGTTGCCCATATGTTCACGAGCGCAGATTTTTTTGTGTTGTTATATGTGCAATTCCGCGGCCTCCTGCTGAGCTCCGCTTGCATTTCCCTCTCTGGGTTTGGCTTCTGGAAGCGTGTGTGCGTGTGTCTGCTCGGGGTGAAGGGCAGTAGCCTTACAGTGTTCTTCCTTGTCTCAGCTCGGTTTTCCCCTGTCACTCTCCTTTCCCATCCCCACTGGGGTTCTCCTCCTTGGGCCCTGTTCTCTGCCTCGCCAAAAGGGAAGTAAATTCTCCTGGATGGGCCCTTCCTTCTCATCTGTTCTTCCCCGCTCATCCTACGGGGACGTCCAGACTCTACATAGGCACATGTGCCCTTTTTCTAAAATGAGGGTTTCCTACATGATTGTGAAGTTATCAAATGCTTCCAGAAGGAGGTGCAAAAACATGGTCACCTGTCTGACTCTGAAATACTAGCATTTTGCTGGTGACACTGTGCAAAAGGAAAGCCCCTCTCATGTCCTGGGAACTAGAGATTGGCGAGGGAGATGGGAGGGGGCGGGGTGGAAGGGGTGCTGCAAAAGGGGGAGCAAAGACGCATGATCCTAAGGCTTAATTGTACCGGTCTTGAGAAAGGTTTCCCATCTCCTCTGTGGATAATTTTATTCCTGTAATGGCTGGGAAGATGAGGAACTCGGCCTCCGACAATCTTTTTTATTAGCTGTTGCTTTTATATAATTCTGCTTTCATTTGTTGAATACTCTCAGACCTTGACATTTTCAGCTTCTGTACACACAGCTTAAGGGCCTTCCAATCAGCAGGCTCCTTTCTTTTCTTTTCCCATTTCCTCTTAAGTTTGGAAATTGATGGTGGAAACCTGTTCAGGGGGAAACTTGGAGCAGCTGCTGAATCATCCGCGACCACCCAAAAAAGTTGGGAGTATGGTCAGGGGCCAGAGCAGGTTGGGATGGGGGACACAGAGGCCCAGGCTCGTGGGGGGCGCCGTGCTGGGTCCGCCCGCCCCTCGGCTGGAAGCCTCCTGCCCTTTCGCCCATAGGACTGTGATTGGCAGGTAGGGAAATCCTGCACAGAATCCAGACTCATTTTCAAGGGGGAGGAGACGTCTTGACCCCTTTGTACTGCAGTATTTATTCCCTAGATGATTATTCTTGAGGGTGGAAATCATATTTTGTAGGGCTCCTGCGCTTTATAATCTTTCTGAGTAATTGTTCCTCACGCCCACACTGCAAGATCTAAGTGAGGAGTGTTTTTTCCTTTCATCACAGAGAGCGGTGAGCTGCTGGGATTGCAGGGGCCTGGGGAGGGTCTCATGGCACCTGGAGGCAAACCCTAGATGTGGTGTCCACACACAGCTGTGAAGCAAGGGCTAGCGCATTCACAGTGGACCCGGGACCCCACACGGCTCTGTGTCATTGCCCTCTGCAACCACACTGCGCCTCCTCACATCTCCGTTTCTCCATCTATGAAATGGAGATATTGATGCCTCCCTCCGGGTGTTGACGGCAACATTGGAGGAGGGAACATCGGACAGGTGTTGGCATGTGCCGGGGGCCTCTCTCTGGTGCACAGCGGTGTTGGCGATTCTCCTTCAAGTCCTGATGCTTCCGGTTTGGGTTCAGCGGATGCATGTGTGCACACGTATGCGTGCGGAGATGGATCTTGTCATCAACGGTGGGCTGCTCTCTGGGACGCAGAAATCTCCTCCCCGGGCTTCTCTGGGCTTTTCTCGGGTGCCTGCCACAACACCTGTCTGTCCTTCGCCACGCAGAGGGGTAGGCGAGGGCTGTGTGCAAAGCACTATGGAGACCATGCGCTGCTCACAACTGGGTGTTTCTCACGGGCCTGACAGTGTTAGAGAGCAGGGCCATTTTCCGTTGCCGTATGCCGGGTGTAGGGTCCAGGAAGGTGACGCTGTCCACCGCCTCGACTGTCCGAGTTGCAGTTCTGCACCTCCTGCCATCGTAACTGGCCTCCCAGAGCCTTTGCTCAGCTGCCCTTTGTGTTTTCCTGTGGGAAACGGAAGACCTGGTTGTGGGTTTCACCTGCGCTCCACCTGGATTCAGTTATCTCGGGGCTAAGGGTGACTTGTGTCCTGTCAGAACTAGCGCATCTGCTGTCTGCTGGTGGAACCCTGGGTGCTGGGTGGCTCTGAATGAGACCTGAAGGCCATCGATCTGACAGCTCTGGCTGGCCAAGGGTGCGTCTCCTGCCCTCTGCCATGGGGCCGAGCGCAGGTGCGTGGGGAGCAAGGTGTGTGGGGTGCGTGATGGAGTCCTAGTTTGGCTTCAGGAATTGACCAGACTTCTGACTCTGAGCAAGCTATTTAAATTCTACAGCCTCAACTTTCTTACCTTTGACACGGAAATGTTAAGACCAACCTGCCAGTTGTTTGGGGGCTGAGTGGTCATCTGTGTACAAGTATCTGACGTTGAAGTGTCCTATTCTCTTTCGTGTCATTTCCATCCTTTTTCTCCTCATGTAATAAATGCGTAGCCATTCGTTAATTCCATATCTGTTTAATTCTGCTAGATGCCCAGAGACGGTCCCGACACCTGTCATTCCTACCTCATGAAATTCACAGCACAGTTTGGGAGGGGAGGGAGATGTTGAGGAAGAGGGCCGCACATGGGAGGATGCCAGAGAGCCGACTTCCCGTGACCAGACCTGGCAGCCCTGTAAAAATGGTCTTGCTTTTTCCGAACTCAGCGACTGCAAAGTGGGGAGAGCATCTGGGGGGTCAAGCTTCACAGCTGGAGGTAGGGAGAAGGGGAGAACCTGAAAAATATGTGTATTCTTCCTGGATCTCGGGCTTTTTCCCCAGAACATAAATCTCTGTTCCTCCTCCCCTTGGGCACACACACCACCCCAGCATCGATATGTGAACAGTCAGCCCTTTTCCTGTTTTTCCCTCTTTGCTTCTACTCCGGCTTTCTTTTTTTAAGGAACAACTGTCATGTGATCCTGCCAAGCCTGCAGCTTTCTCAGTGACAGCACTAAACAGCCCCCTGCCTGATGTCCCTGGGGGTGTCAGTCGGAGTCTGTTCAGGAAGACAGGAGCTGCTCTAGGGCACAGAGGAAGAGGAGAATTCTGCTTTACATGAGAAGGTGGGCCCCTGGTCGGGAGCACGTGAAAAGGCCCAGCCTCACACATGTTGAGGAAATGCAGTGACAACCACGAGGCAATACCGTTCCATGCTCAGAGTGGCTGACATGGGAGCGATGGGTACCAGTGAGTGCTGGCCAGGCTATGTGTGGTTAACTCAGGCCCTCACGCCACTGGCAGCGCTGTAAATTGGCAAGGCCACTTTGGAAAGCTATCACCCGTTGTCTGTTAAAGCTGAACATAGGCATACCCTACAACCCGGCAGTTCGGTGCCCAACAGAAATGTGTCCATAGGTTCACCAAAAACCAAAGACTGTAGAACGTTCATTGCAGAATCATTCACAATCGCTGTCAACAGGGGGACGGATCCGTCATGGTGGTCGTCAGAGTGGAAGCCCAGATGGGCGTGAGGATGAACAAGTCATGGCCATCAGCAGGGGTGCTGGTGAATGTCAGCCGCAGAATGGTAAGCAGAAGGGCCACACGGAAGCATACGTGTACGTCGGGTGGATCTGTTACTTGACTTTCAAACCCGGCAGAACTAATCTGTGACGCTAGAAAGTGGGATAACGGTTACCTTTGGGGGGAGTAACGTGGAAGAGAATGTGTAGGGGGCTCGTAGAGTGGGGCAGAGTTCCCTTTCTTGATGTGGGTGCTGGTTACGCAGGTGGGTTCGACTGTGCGAATTCATCAAGCTGTGTTGGGAGGTTTTGCATTTTTCTGTTAGTATGTTCTATTTAACACAAAGTCCGATGCAGCGGAGGAAGGCAGGCCTACCTGTAGGCACCAGCGGTGTCACCTGCCACTCCCTCTCTGCATGTTCCTAG